CTTTATTTGCAAATCAAAGCACCTAGGGACATTACTGATATGCTCACTGAATACAAACCTAACAGCTCACTGAGCGCATTAGAATCAAGCAAATTAGTAATTCCAAGAGTTCAGTCAAAGCAGGGAGAATCCACCTTCAGCACCTATGATGAAATGATCAGATGTGCTCCAACAATAGGTGCGTTCAAATCAAGACTTTAAACACATTCAATTGAATTCACCTTTATTTCTTTAGCACTTTTACAATGTAGATTGTGTCAAAGCAGCTTCACAGAGACTACATGGATTTGAAACCGTGTCAGTTCAGTTTTCAGAGTTTAAGTTCAGTTCAGTGTGGTTTAATATTCACTGCTGAGAGTCCAAACACTGAAGAGCAAATCCATGGATGCGCAGCTCTACAGGTCCCGAACCATGCAAGCCAGTGGCGACAGCGACAAGGAACAAACTTCACCAGTTGGCGAAAGTGTAGGATAAAAGACATCTGTTTAGCTGTAAGTAGAGTTTTGGAAATACAGTGACTGGAATAAGCAAACCCTTGAGAACAACTGTGGTCAGAACCAAAGTTCATAGGACTGTGTTCTCTGGCATCCTCTAAAGCGGTGGACTTCAACATTCCGATTACTTGCCATCAAACCACCTCATTGGACATTACCATAAAGTTGACTTGATTTCAAGTCTCCTCAATGCCCACACTGGCAAAGACGTGCCGCTTACATCGAAAATGAATGACTTCCAGTTCCTTTGATGCTCTTGCTGCTTTCGGTGTGAACGCACAGTAACTCTCATCTTTGGATGGAAGCACAGCTTTTGAGACTGACGTTAGCTCCAAAGGTAAGGTTGAAAGAACTGAAGAACATACCAGAGTAATTGACGTCCGTTCTGTCCCTTGTCTTCCGAGGAAAAGCACAAAGAGTGTATTGTAATTGTATTTGGTGGCAGTATGTGTCCTTGGCATGTGTCGTTATCTTGAGCATTAGACAAAGTAATCACCTTCTGAAACCCCACCCCAAAAGCCTTCACAAACACACAGACACACATTTTTTTTTTCAAGCCAGAATTCTTCCAGCCTTGAAACAATTAACAATTAAAAGTGATGCACAAAGGGAACAGTCTAGCATTGTGCGGCGCAAGCCAATGGATCGGTTCAGACCGGTGGCGCATAACGGTAGTATACAAGTCCTCTACACCGGTTTTTCCTTTTAGCGTTGTTTCTTTTGTTGGCTGCTCTGTCATGCTGAAGAAAAAGAAGGATGGAGAGATCTCCGAGCCTTCAGTTAGGAAGGTAAGAGGGGAGAAAGCAACAGGGTGGTCTTCGGGATGTAAGCTTACCCTTCTGGAATGAAAATAGTCCAAAGCCATCTGTGTGCACAGCGTGTGGCTTCTGCCGAGCAGAGCAAGAGGGGGTCCGATGCAATCTCTTCCCAGCATCGTTGACTCTTGTTGGACTTGATCTTTCAGCTTTGGGCAAATGCAAGTTCAGGCCATTTATTTTAAAACATGTCATTTTCTCTCATAGCTTGGTTTCTTTAGAAATGGATAGTGAAAATAATTGGTCTGACATCAAACTGTGGCACAGCTTGATTGTGGCTAGAAAGCGGTCCAAGTTGTATCAATCTATAATGGGAAATATTTTATTTAAAATAACGTCTGTGTGTGATTCGGCTCATTTTAAAATGCTCAAATTTGAATATTGTTTTAGAATTTATTTTCTCATAATGATACTAAACAATGCTTTGATTTGTGTGTCATCGATAAATAAAGTTGACATTTAAACCAACAGTTGATAGCAGCAAGGTGCTGTCATGGATTAATCATTCAATGAATCAAACATTTAAGTGATTCATTCAAAACTGATGATTCATTTAGAGACCAAGCAAATGACAGTCTTTATGAATATAATGTATATATGAACCACTGACTACTTGTGTCTGCTGGTTTGTTTACTTGCGGGAGTTCCATTGGCATTTTTCCACACATGAATTCTGACCAATCGATAAGCAGTTTAGGAACTATGTTCAACAACATCTGGCCAATGAATGATGTGGGTTTTGTCAGATGAGTGCATTTTGGTTCTTTTCGTTTAATTCAGACCAAAGCCAGCAGTGTTGTGTGAAAACGACCCAAAGACAACAGAAAATGCTACAATGTATCATTTATTGCCATTGGGTCGGACCAAATGAAGCGAACTACAGATGTGAATGCACCCTTAAACGCCAGGTGGCATGCAGGGATTGGCTGGGACTTGGGCAGAGTGGTAACCAATCAGGTAGCAGGAGAGATGGAATTGGTTGCAGGAAGAACAAGTGAAACAGCCAATCAGAGACGGGAGTAGGCAGAGCAAGTACAGAAGGGGACTGGGTGACAGACAGAAACACATGATGAGATACAAAAATAAGCAACAAAATAACCAAATAAGTGCTGGCATGTAACACGTGAGCGAGAAAGAGAGATAGAAATCTGTTCATTTGTGCGTCCTAAATCTCCACATTTTTAATCCTCTCAGTCGCTGACGTTATCTTCAGCAGCTGAAAGCTCTAATGGCGGTCGGCTGCTTCTCATTCAGGGCTGTTTATGTTAATGAGGATGAGATCGTCCCTAATGGGTGGGGCTTTCGCCCTCTGATGACGTGTACAAAGGCAGAATGTAAATCAAAGTGTTTCTGCTGCCTGTTTTTATCAAGTGTGATTATAAAAAAGCAGAATTAATAACTCTTTACCATTAGAGCCTGGATATATTCACACAATGTTACCACACAACCTTATAATAAGTGATTTTTGCATAAGTCCTCCATTAAAGGGCTTTCAGACACAATGATATGTCTTTGTGAGTAAAGGTCTGTAAATCAGGCCGCCACACACTCGTCTGTGTAACTGTGTGTTTTACTCATGGTCCAAAAGCCATCCATCCATCCTGAAAACAGCACCTCTTATTGCTTTAACGTAAAGATTAATCACTGCGATCTCTCACTGCATGCTTGATTTGCACACTGATATGGCACAGGGTTATGTAATAGTCATGCTTTTAAAAAAATCTCTTGATGGAGCGGGGGGATTTGAGGCTTGCTGTTGACTTAGATAATAACGTCAGCAGGGGATGACTGCACCGCGGCGTAATCCTCTCACGCTTCACACAGCGCACTCTTCTCTCTAGGCAACAGCTGCCGCGACATTAATAGTAGCGCATTTTACCGACACAATCTATGGTGGGTGCTCTTCAGACTTTCATTGAGAGAAGCTTAGGGGTTTTAAAGTACGCTTATGTTGTTGCTGTTGAGGTTATGGTAATGAAATATTACACTAAACCCGCATAACTGGGATGAAACAGGAAGTGCCTCTCTGGCCGGTCAGGTTTTGTTAAAGATTAGGATTTCCTTCTCACTTTCTGAGTAAAGGCTAATTCAGCTTAATGTTTGAATCGCAGCATTGTGTTGGGATTTGTCATTGTTTGCATACTCATTTAACACTTCCTGTGGTCATAGGCACACTGTTTAGCATTATATTGGAGCAGTACAGGAAAACAGTTCATAGATCATTTGGGGTTTAAAATACAACTTGTTAAAATATATTGCCAGTTTTTATTTCGTGTGTGTGTGTGTGCCTGTGTAAAGGATTTTTTAGGTATCGGTTTTGGTAAAATGTTAATCATTGTTTTTATTTTTCGTTTTGCTCATATTTTTAAATGAAAAGGTTTTTATTTTAGAGCTTAAAATCACATTTGTTGTGATTGAAACTTCTTGATATTTTGCTATCTAATAATTAATTTAAACAGATCTCAAAAAAAAGAAAAAAGACAACAATAATTTTTTTATTTATTATTTTAATGCTAAATGTCATTAAGCAGTGAAATTAGCATTCCTAATTGTGCAAAATATTCATGTTTTAATTAGAAATCATTGCAAAAATATGTAACTAACAATATTGTGATTAGTATCATTCATTCATTTTCTTTTGGCTTAAGGCTGAAATATACTTCTGCCTTAAGCGTATATGTGTATGCTCGGGTGTGGTCGCATAGCCCTCAGCATGGCTGACGCTGACACACACCTCTCAAATGTAACTGCACGTCGCAACGTTGCGTATCGCTAGCTCTGTGATTAGTGGGCTTTGTAGCTGTGACCAGTGTGGGCGGGGCAGAGAGTCGTGCAAACCCATTGGAGGGAGTGTTTACAAGTGTCGAATTCTGTATAGTAGCTCAACATGGAAACTGTTGTTTTGTATTTACCTTATGATTAATGTTGTTGCACGTTCGCCAGTTCCCGCTTCTGAATGAGCGAGTTTTAGCTACTTGTACATTGAGGTAGCATTCAGAAAAAACAAAACACCAGCAAAAAAACATCCTGCCAGCTAGCGTTTCGAAAGTGTAATTGCAGAGCAACGCAAACAGCATGCAGGTGTATAAATGCACCGCTACCTGCAAGGCAGGTGCCGTGGGTCACACCAAACACTCGATACAGACGTATAAATCAGTCTTTAGTCCTTTATTTATCAGGGGTCAACTCAGCTGAATGAACCGCCAACTATTCCAGCATCTGTTTTACACAGCAGATGCTCTTTCGGGTGCAACCCAGTACCGGGAAACACTCATACACTCTCGCATTCACACACACTCATACACAATTTAGGACATTAACATATGGACAATTTAGTTTATTCAATTTACCTGTAGCGCATACCTTTGGACTGTGGGGGAAACCGGAAAACCCAGAGAAAACCCACGCCAACATGGGGAGAACATACAAACTCCTCACAGAAATGCCTACTTGCCCTGCTTAGACTCAAACCAGCGACCTTCTTGCTCTGGAGCGACGGTGCTAACTGAGTACTTTCCCAGTACTGGGTTGCAGCTCCAAGGGCATCCATTGTGTAAAACATATGCTGGAGTTGTTGTCGGTTCATGACCTCTGATAAATCAGAGACTAAGCTGAAGGAAAATAAATGAAGGAAGGAATTTAGCCACTTCAAGGAGTCTCACCCGAGACTTTCTCTCTTTTTTCCACACAGATTCAGTTTGCAGACCAGAAGCAAGAGTTCAACAAACGTCCCACCAAGATCGGCCGCAGGTCTTTGTCCCGCTCCATCTCACAATCTTCAACGGACAGTTACAGCTCAGGTACGCCATAATACATACATACATGCGGCTGTTTTACTTTACGTCAGGGGTCTCGTGTAGAGTGTCAGCATGTGAGCAACGTCTTTCCTGTGTGGCAGGATTTTAAAGAGGATTAAACTGATGAAGCAGAGCAGATTTTAGGAGGGGAAGTAAAATCTACATTCCTGCGGGACTCTCACAGGACACTATATTAGTAGAAGTCAAAATTATTTGCTGTCCTGTGAATTATTTTTTTTAACTTATATATATTTCCCAAATGATGTTTAACAGAGCAAGGTAGAGATCGATTCGGCCACGTTTTAGGATAATAAACGGTAATGTTTTAACGTAATAAAAACAATAATAAACAGTATATTTACAATGATTCATTGACACTCTCTCTCTCTCTCTCTCTCTCTCTCTTTCTTGTTGTAGTTTTGTAAAAGCAAAAATAACTTAAATAGATGTTATTAAAAAACAGTGCAAGGATTTTTTCCACAGTATTACCTATAATATATTTTTCTTCTGGAGTCTTTGTTTTATTTCGGCTAGAATAAAAGCAGTTTTTAAGTTTTTTCAAACCATTTTTCAATATTATTATCCCCCTTAATCAATATATATATATATATATATATATATATATATATATATATATTATTGCCTACAGAACAAACCATCGGTATACAATCACTTGCTAATTACCAGTCAGAGCTGAGGTGGGACTCCTTTATAGCCCTGGAGTTTCAAGCCTTATGTCGTCCCACATCAGTTCACGTCTGACTGTATTAAAATAACGTCATTTCCATTTCGTTTCTAATGACACAATCACGTTTTTTTCAAGGAAACATCTGCTTTAGAACTTCAAATGTTTTTCCATAAATATGAGAACATTAATGGGTAGCTAAATCTCCAACACTATGTTTTAAAGCATCACAATGTCCTGTCCTGCAATATCTGAATATATATTCTGTACAAAAAATTTTATACCGTAGATATCCAGTCCTTTGTAACTGTGGTCACACAAAAAATAAAATATGTACACCTACATAAGTAACCCGAACAGTATTATATGTCTTAACACACAAAAAAATAATAGATAATAATAATAATCTCAGATGAGGTTCGAACTAGAGTCGACAGCGTCGTAACGTAACGTGCTGACCACTAGACCACAATGGGGCTGTTATGCTGGTGCGGTTGGAAGAAACATAAGTATTGCGCTGTTATCTGCAAGACTCTCTACCACGGTATTACTTTCTATTGATGGCTTAATCTTTTTCTCCCCTTTTTAGATTTCTGATCAAGTTATTTCAGATTTGTTAATGTAGGGAATCATCTGATTTTCATTGAGCAGGTGTAATATTCATTAATATTAATTATTCAAATTCTTTTATTCACTAAGGAACCGCTGTTTGGGGTCGAATTATAGTTACATCATCATTAACCTGCAGGGTGCATTTTGCTCACGGTGCTGCGAGAAAATAAGAGCGAAGCCGCAGAAAAATAATGAATAAAAAGAGTGAGGCTATGGTCAAATAAATAAATAAAAAAAGGGACTCCGCCCCTCGCGGCCAAAAAACGGATCGGCCCACTGGGAATTCTCCCGGTCCCCACGATTAGCCAATCCAGGCCTGCTCTGACTTACCTAGTTAAGCCTTTAATGTCACTTTGTTACTTTAACATGTCTTAAATGTCCCTTTAAGCTGAATACTAGTATCTTAAAAAACATCTTGTCAAATATTATGTGCTGTCATCATGGCAAAGATAAAAGAAATCACTTATCAGAAAATAAAAGGAGTTAAGACTATGAAGTTTCTTTCCTTTAAACAGAATTTGGGGGAAAATATACAGATTGGCTAATAATTCTGACTCATTTCTTTATTATTCCCCTCCCCAGCCGCTTCATACACTGACAGCTCCGATGACGAAACTTCTCCTCGCGACAAGCAGCAGAAAAACTCCAAAGGTAGCGGCGATTTCTGCATCAAGAACATCAAACAGGCCGACTTCGGGCGCAGGGAGATCGAGATTGCAGAACAAGGTGGGAAAGGCCCTTCTGTCGGCAAGCCATATAACTGTTTTACGAGTGTGACACAGATTGCGCAAACTCTGTGTGTTTTCCACAGGCCTGTAAACTAGCCGTTGGTATTTGTTTATGTGTGACGTTTAAGTGTGCTCGTGTGTTTTTGGTGTTTTCCTGTGCTGCTGAGAGGCCATATGTTCAGTGTGTGCTCACAGACAGCAGGACGCCCCCTTTAGACCCTCAAAACCACATGGCCATGCACTGTCTCTTTCTTTTTCTGAGGCTTAAAACTGTTTCTGCTTGAGATGAATTTCTGATGACAATGTTTTAGAGAGCAGGGTATCTAATGCACAGTGTAAAGCCAAAGGTGCACACACACACATATATATATATATATATATATATATATATATATATATATATATATATATATATATATATATAGTTTCCATTAAGTGCATTACTATTGCTTAATAACAATAATAATATATCATATGCAGACAATTTTTCCATCTCCATAAAGTGGATGCTGCACACTAGTGGGGGTGTGGAGAGACCCCCCTCACGATTGTGAAGCTCTTTGGGTGTATGGCCACACAGTAAATGTGCTATATAAATACACATTACATTACATTACATTACATTACATTACATTACTATTAAAATGCTAATAACAAGAATAATATACAAATACTTCTTTAAGGAGCTCTGGCTCATGAAATATTTGTCTCTTTAGAATTATCTGAAGTTATTTAAACCTAACCAGCCAACTATGTAGTGAATCACAACATTAAAAAAAAAACTTTTACTTTAAACCGAGTTAATACTTATCAGACATGGTGAAACGGCAGAGAAAATTAAAGTATTCATTTTGGCGTTTATCCTTATTGGACTTAGTGGCCACATACGTGTACAGCACATTTTAGCTCTTAAGTGCCTGAATGCTTTATATTTAGTTACAGACATATAGTGTCATATGAAAAGTTTTTAACTGTACAAAATGAGCAAAAATTTAGTTTTTACTCTCTGATAGTCAAAACATATTCAAAACATTTTTTACATGTTATACAGTATATGCATTAAAAAAACTGTCAGGAAAAGTGTTTTATGTAAATTCGGACCACGAGTCCACATATATGGACATCATTTTTCTCTAAAAGTACATCAAATCAAAAGATTATTCTCAGGTTTTATTCTAATTAGCTATCAATAAATCCAAATAGCAAAGGGAAATAAAAAAATCATGTAAGAAAACACTGTGGGCTTTATAGGTTTAATCTATAGATATGTTTTTATTAGTGAGCAAATTAAGCTGTGTTTTGCATGCTGTCAAAAAAAAGTCTCTTTAAGATGTTTAAATAATCATGTTCCAGTGCTGTTTTCTGATCTAGTCAGTGGGCATCAAACCTCTCACAGAGTGACACGAGCAACTGCTAATGGTGACTGTCTAGTGCCGAAGTGTAAGACCTCATTTGGTCAATCTGTTTTCTCTGTAAAGGGAACCAAATTGTGGAATGATTTACCTAAAAGTGTTCTAGTGTTCTTAAAAAAGAGTTTAAAAACAAAGCAGCAGTGTTTGCACAAATAGCCTACTATAAAATTAGTCTATTAGTTTGGTGGATCATGCCGCCTTTGCTTTTGCCCTCATTCATTTTACGTAAAGAATTATAATGTTGTGTATGTGCATTTATTATATCTTCCTTTTGTCAATTTTGTCAAGCCTCCTGTGGACAGATATTGAGAATTAGCAAGTCTGCTAAAACACAAACTCTAAGGAAGAAAGTTTTTTTTTGATTTAATGTGTCTGTTAGATAAGAGTTTGAGTAAAATTTTCCTCTTTGTCTTGTTCTATAAAGCTCTGAAAGCATTGACGTTTCTTGTCAATGTGGAGTTGCAAGTAGAACATTGCTATGGTGCGGTCTAAAACTGAATACAATGTAAGATTAAACCTTTATAGCATTTTTATTTTTAATTGGGATCATGAAGTGTGATCAGCAGTTTACAGAATAAAACAAAAAATACTCCATTGCATAACTATAGATCATAAGTACAGAGAATTTCCAGGTGGCCCTATTCTTTCCATAGCTGTATTAGCACTACTTGCTGTGTAAATCAAAGATGCTCAAAGATAAAATCATTGTAATACTCTGTGCATCTGTTAATGTCTGTTGTGTTTGTTTTGCACTGTAGAGATGCCTGCGCTCATGGCTTTGAGGAAGAGAGCTCAGGGAGAGAAGCCATTAGCTGGAGCCAAAATTGTTGGTTGCACCCACATCACTGCACAGACTGCTGTGAGTTTCTGCACTCACTCACAAATACACCATTTCTTTTAGTTTTTTATGTTAAACTAATTAAATACAATTACATGCTATCCTTGCAATTCCACCACCATAATTATATTTTTTACCACCATTTAGGGCATTACTTGACCAATTTGGGAACATTTTTTATCTCCACACAGTACTGTATTTACTGAAGAGGTTTTAAAAAATACTGCTTATTTTTTAATGCATGCAGACATCTGTGTTTTGTATGGCTGAGCATTGCTTTTGAGTCATTTATCATTTATTTATAATATATTTATTATTTATCATCACGTGTCATTATTTATTACTTATTCTCACTCAAGGAGGTATTCAGTGACGTGCCACCAGGAAAAAGTTTAGAATTATTTTTTATATCCTATATTAACATTAAAAATAATAAATAAATGAATGAATTAACTAATGAATGAATTAATAGATAAATAAATAAATGAATGAATGAATGAATAAATAAATAAGCAAATAAATGAATGAATAAATAAATGAATATATAAACGAATAAGTGAATGAATAAATACCTGAATAAATAAATAATGTTATAATAAATAAATATTAGAATACATAAAAAATATATTAACATTAAAAGTTTGATCTAAATTATGTATTAATTTGTTTGTGGTTTTTAATTTTATATTATTAATGAAATACCATGAAAATAGCCTTAGTTGCTAACATGGCATTTATATGATATATGATCTGATATATGATCTGAAATATGATATATGATTTCATATAATGATTATTACTGATATGATAAGATGCAATATGATATGATGATTATTACTTTATTCCTACAAATTATTTGTAACATAATTTAATTACTATTGTTAATCAAATGAAGATATAAAACATGAACAATTAAATTATTAAATGTAATCAAATGAAAATAAAAAGTGCCTTGTGTTTTTTTAATCAAACAATCTGCTTAACCTTTATATGTTTCTATGTCTTAAACACATTTTAAAGTGCAGTCTTTATTTACTTCATCGATAAACACAGAAACTAGTTCATAACATCATTTCATTTATTCATTATACTCCATGACATTCCTTGTTAAATCATAAATAAGGTGTCATTTTTTTCTTGACTGGAGTCCTTGATTCTGCCTGCGCTTTTCACGTCACTGAAATCAATTTTATTTACTCTAATTAAAGGGATGGTTCACCCAAAATTGAGAATTAACTCACCCTCATGTAGTTCCTTACCAGTTTGAGCTTCTTTCTTCTGTTGAACACAAAATAAGTTATTTTGAAAAATGTACGAAACCTGTAACCATTGGCTTCCATAGTATTTGTTTATCATACTATAGCTGTGTCTCATTTCTGAGGCTGCATCCTCGCTCTGCGTCATTGCAGCATTACGATGGCTGTCTCATTTCAAATTCGAAGGCTCCTTCGAATGCAGCCCCAAAATGCGTTGTTCGTTTCTCAATCAACCGCTGGATCCTTTGTGGCATTGAATATCCCAAGATTCATTACACACTGATAACGGCAGGATGTTTTAAAGAGAAACCTCTAGATTAAATATATGAATTAGGTTTTGCATATGGAAGTCAATGGTTACAGGGTTTCAGCATTTTTCAAAGTATCTTCTTTTGTGTTTAAAAGAAGAAAGAAGATCAAGTGAATAAGTGAATTATAAGTGATGGAGTTTTCAGTTTTGGATGAGCTACTCCTTTAGCTGTTTGTGTGTGTGTGTTTGCAGGTGTTAATGGAGACTCTCTCTGCTCTGGGGGCTCAGTGCCGATGGGCCGCCTGTAATATTTACTCCACCCAAAATGAGGTAGCAGCCGCTCTGGCAGAGGGAGGTAAATATTTCCCCCTTTTGTATTCTCATTGTCATCGTGTTACCTTACACTCTTCTGTCCTGATGTGCTGCTGTGTGTGCTCTATGGCAGGTTTCTCAGTGTTTGCTTGGAAGGGGGAATCGGAGGATGATTTCTGGTGGTGTATCGATCGCTGTGTTAACGTGGAGGGTTGGCAGCCTAATATGGTGAGTATTACTATATATAGTGAAATATTTGAAACATTCTGACTTTTTGTTGCCTCATTAGTTTATGCCTTGTAGATTTTAGATGACGGAGGGGATTTGACCCACTGGATCTATAAGAAATATCCCAACATGTTCAAAAAGATCAAAGGCATCGTGGAGGAGAGCGTGACTGGAGTTCACAGGTAATTTGATTCGATAAATGCATTAAAATAGTCCATTTTCAAGCATTTCATGTGGATGATGTCAACTTTTATCTGTAATGTAGCAGGGCAGGACAATGTGGAAGCCTTTCCAAATCAAATGGAAATGTCTCCATCTAGTGGCAAGGTTTGAAACTGCTATGCGCTGATGCGATGGATGTTATGTTTTAGCAGGTCTGGTGCTAGGATGTCATAACTGAGGGGACATTTTAAACCCATAAGGGGGCACAAGTCTTGATGACTGATTTTGGTCCCTCTTGTTCCTTTCATTTAGGCTATTTATTAACATTTATTATTACTTTGCATTATTGCCTAAGTTACTGACTTACGCTCCATTCACACGGGCCTTCAGCGTCAACGCTTGACTGAAGGCGTGTCTGAAGTTGAGGCTAAAGCAATCGTCATAGCAGCTACAGCCAATGAAATTCAGTCAGCAATAGGCCACTATCTAGCAGGTGTATTTGCATACAGCGATCTGATTGGCTGACGCTTCTGTCGGCGCTTGAAAAGTTGAGCTAGTCCCAACTTCTGCAGCGAGCAACGCCTCTGAATCGGCGCCGACAGATCCACAATGCAGTTCAGCAACGCCTGACATCACCCATTCAATGTCAATGGGAGGCGTTGACGCTGACGCCCTGTTTGAATGGGGCGTTAAGGCAGTAATATACTTTTTTATAGTTTTGCAATTACTGATTTTATCAATGAATGTAAAGCAACGATACGGTTTATTACGCAGTAAGATTATTGCTTCGCTAATTGAGTGCTTTAAATCATATTTTATTTTGCTTATTTCTTTACATTTTAATTCAGATAAAAGGCCTATAAATGTTTAAAGTTTTAGGTAAAGACGTCAAACTATGCCCACACATGCAAGCTAATCCACGGTTGTATAATTGGTAAATAAGTGAAATCAGCATAACCCAGTCATCACGCTTCACATAGGCTATTACCCAACCAACATCAGTGTAGAAAAAAGTTCAATGTTACAATCATTTAATCTCATTTAAAAAGAAAAAAATGTAGTTACATTTTATGGCATTATTGTAGCCAGAAAAATACCTAAAAAAGATACCTAAATTCACAGTTATTACTGTGAAAATTGGTTAAATTTTGAGATAACGCACTTATCTTAGGCTATCATAAGTGAGTTTTTTTTTCTGTTATATTGTCCGGTTTCCATTGTAAAATCGCCATCATAAACCATTAGGTTCCTAGGCCTACCCGTCATTATACTGTATTTATTTATTAAGCCTATTAGTAACTTGTTTTCAGGTTATTTTCATTTTGTAGTGCCATGAGCTACAAGTCAAAACAAACTCAATATGCTAACTGTATTTTAGCTCTTAAAATAGGCCTACAATAAATTTTCTGGTGTTTAATTTTCATTCATTTATTTTCATTCATTTTCTGCTGCTTTTCCGGGGCCGGGTCGCGGGGGCCGCAGTCTTGGGAGAGATCCCCAGACTTCCCACTCCCCAGAAACTCCCCAGTGTTTCATTTTGCATGAACAAATAGCAGAACAGCCTAAATGACATATTTTTAAAAGACTATCATTCAGCCTACCTGCAATGCATAAGAGGTTGATTCGTGGCAAATCCACTTACTTACGCATTATTTAACTATTTCATGTATAACTGTAAACTTGACTTCGCAGGCCGATTATCTTTATCCCAAAAGACATTTATTAAGCGTCCTAACTTGAGACTGTTGCTGCACAATGGGATGTTTCTTTACAAAACTATTAAAGTGCACTTTAGCCATGTCAAAACGAAAGCAAACATTCAAAAGGGTTCTGCGTTTTGTCAATTTTAGCTTAATTTGAATAATAATAGACTACTGTGGGACTCAGCAGTGAACTAAGTATTTTTATTAGGCTGCATATCCCCTAACTGAAAAACTAATGTGAAAATGACTGGCAGTTCTAAAATTAATTTACCAGCAAATTTCTTCTGCATTTTTTTCCCTTTTATAGCCCAAGAGAGTTGTATTTAAAGAATTAGATCACCAAAACATGTAATGAATTAGACTGCTTGTCTCATGTCATCCACTATAGTCTAGTTCTGTCCCATGTAAGTTTAGAGTACGCCTCAGCCGCCGCTTGAATACATGGGCACACCTGACCTGACACGGGGACCAGATCTCTGGATTATATATATGCCTAGTTTTAATCTCACATTTTTCATAATTTAATTGCTATTTCATATTATAAAATATCTTAATGTGTGTTTTGAAGGTTGGAATGACGGGAGTGTATTTAATGACAGGAAGAATTTTCAGTTTTGAGTGAACAATCCTCTATGAAAACTGAAAACAAATTCTTTCTGAATTCTTTCTCTACCGCCCCCAGCCCCGTTGCTCCGGCCCTGCATTCTGCTGTTTGATAAGGTTTCTTTATTGTCTTTATAACAAAATTAAAAAGAAATTGTGGTTGACTCAATCCAGGCAGAATCTCATATAAATGACAATTTTTTTTATTTGCGTCCTTTATTTTTAATTCAGTAATATGCAATCGAAATGGTCAAGGGTTGTGTGAGTGCGTAATAAAACAAAATAAAAACACTGGAAATTAATAGTATAATAAGAAATAAATAAGAAGAAATAAAAACAAACGCAATCTATATAAAACAAGTTTAAAAATAGCATTAAAATACTATATAAATCAAAAATTATAAAAATCTAATCATTTTTTATGGTTTTTGTCAGCGTGTTATAATTCATATAATTAATATTCATATATACATTCACATATTGTCATTAAGCTTTCTTCATTTCACTTTATTTGCACTTTTCTAGGCTATACCAGCTGTCAAAAGCTGGCAAGTTGTGTGTGCCTGCGATGAACGTGAACGATTCAGTGACCAAGCAGAAGTTTGACAACCTGTACTGCTGCCGGGAGTCCATCTTGGACGGGTATGTGTCTTAGCGTACACGTCTTTACAGTTTGTCAGGTTCTGAATGATGTGTTTTACTGTGGTCTGTGGTTTTACTGAGCATGTTTGTGTTTTGTGTTCAAGTCTAAAGAGGACCACTGATGTGATGTTTGGAGGGAAGCAGGTGGTGGTGTGTGGATACGGAGAGGTGAGATCATTAGGTGGCCAGTGTTGCAAGCTAATAAAAATTACCTATTAGATCCTCAGAAGAGTTGTATGAACATTTTAGCGAGCTTCTTAAACTTGAAGGGGTCTATTTTTAGAGATTCAGCTTCATTTAATGTGTAATGAAATTGAAAGGGGTCTTCTTTTTTACATCCTCCATCAATCCACATCCACTGCATTGCTGCATTACTAATACCAGAGGAGACCACTAGAGGGCAGAACACGACAGCAAATATCAGCACATCTAGATTTCTTTTTAGATCATACCCTGTTTGTGTGCACAATATGTATTTACACAGATACATTTCACCTTTTATTTCTGAATAATTACTATTTATATCTCTCTGTGTGCAATATTAGGTTGGGAAAGGCTGTAGTGCTGCTCTCAAAGCGATGGGATCAATCGTGTACGTCACTGAAATCGATCCCATCTGTGCCCTCCAGGCCTGGTGAGTGTGCAGACACTTTCTCTGAATCAGCTATTTGCTAAAGCTGCCATCAAATTACTGCCAGGAGTTAATTTGAGCGTCTGATTTGTAAATGGCTGTCAGAGATTTGGAGAGGGGTCTGGATGCAGACCTGGTGTAGTTGCATTCTGAGCTGCATGCAATGCTTTTTAATGCCCACACATAACAAACCCTACCCCTAACAGTGACGCCACTAGCTCTATTGAGAGGTCATTGTGTCTGAAATTCATCTCTAAGATCTGCAATCTCAGCTTGCATCATCAAGACTGCATCCAGATATTATTGGCGATGTGATGTGTTCAGCGGTTTGGCACAACTTATTCAGATTATCAGAGTGCTTTCTCTAAATCAATGCCACACCGGTTAGTTTTCAGTGTTGAATGTGGAATGAATTGTTTTTGCATCCTAATCTGGCCAGTGACTGTTTACTGCTTAGCAAGGCTACAGTCTCTAATGTATTTTTTATCACACAGCATGGATGGCTTCAGGCTGGTAAAACTCAGTGAAGTCATCAGACAAGTCGACATCGTCATCACCTGCACAGGTAATTTTGAAATTGTTTGAAATTCAGAAGATGATTATTTAGAAAATGCTTAAGTCTACTGTGCAAACAGGCATATTACTGATTAAAAACATGCTTGAATCCTTCATATTTAATTATTAAAGAATGTTTTCAAACTAAAATAAATTTCACTTGCACAAGTTTTAACTTCATTATCACACTTTCAGTAATTCAAGCCTAAATGTGTGTAAGGTTTGGAGCTTACTCAGCTATTCTGAACCAATAATTGAATAAATCAATAATAAAATTATTAAATAAATCAATTATTTATCTGACTTGTGACTTCATTGTAATTAATCTGTCTCCATTGAAGTCTTATCATCAGTGACAAAGAGAATCTCCTTGCCTTAATACAGTGGTTCTCAAACTGTGGTATGTGTACCACTAGTGCTACGTGGGCTTCCTCCTAGTGGCACGCGGAGGAATCAGATAAGTCATATGTACATGCTACATATTTAAAAATGAATTAAAAAAATGATTTATATATGAATATGATGACATATAGCCTATGTTTCCAGTTGTTGATAAATAAGCTACTATGTTAATACTTTACAGGAGTACTGGAGTTATTTTTTTTTTTTTTTTTACTTTTTAAGAACAGTAACCTATCATTTTTAACTTTTAAAAGCACAGTTTTTTTTATTTAAATGTTGGCGTTTTGAGTCAGTAGTTACACTGTATTTCAATTCTGGTCATTATGGTGATACTTGGAGAGACATTTTGTTTTTCTGAGGTGGTACTTGATGAAAAAAGTTTGAGATCCACTGCCTTAATAAGCAACTTTGCCTGCTTTAAGTTGCATGTTTAAATATACAGACAATAGAATGGATCAAACTGACATACTGTTTAGAGAAACTTAGCTGTAACATATGCACTGCTGTGTAACTAAGACAGCGAACCTGCCTTTGTTAGCAGATGAGGGGAGAAGCAGAAGCCATTCTCCCTGATCAACAGTCATATTTTCTTCTAATGCCATGAGCAACGCATTATCAAACATGAGTGAAACACCAACCCCAAAACCAGCTGAACATGACAGCAAAGTACATTAACATACTCTCCTCGGGTCATGACCAATAGTGGTTCTGAGGGGGGTGCCCCCCCCCAAATTTGGACGTGTATTTTTGTGTCAAAACGCCACGGAGAAACAAGATCAGCCATTAGTGGCAGACTGCGGAGATATGACTGAGACCTCTCTCTTGCGCTCTCGGTGTTGTGTACACTTGCTCTCTCTCCTTTGGCGCGCTTTCAGTGTTGCACGTGCTTGCTCTCTCTCCTTTCGCGTGCTCTCTGTCAGTGACGGTGCTGCGCGTATCAGTTTCTCGCATTTGTCAGAAGTTAACCCCCAAATTGACACAGCCAGATAATAAAAAATTCAACTTCAGTCGGGTTCATGTTGTGAAAATCTAAATGTCCGCTGTTGATTATACTAGGTTTTTGTTTTCAATAGCGATTTTAAAACATTTAATATTTAAGTCCTCGGCTATGCATGGCTATTATTATTAATCAGAAATTGAGTGTACATAGTTTTATGTTAGGAAATACAGTCTTGAATTTACAACAGTCAGCAAACACCGGAGAACAGATTGATGAAACACATTGACCAAATATAGTTTTCAGTCACGCTCATGTAAAAGTCATATTCAACTCGTTTAGTTTTACCTTCATTCGTGACCTAAAGCACGAGTCTTCAAACATTATTACAACATGTTTTTGAACATAATAGTTTAACAAACTCATTTCTAATAACTACTTTTTTATGTTTGCCATAGTGACAGTCGGTGCACAATATTTTACTAGTTGTTTTGCAAGATACAGTAGTTGTATTCAGACAAAGTCCCTTTAAGTATTCTATAGTTTTCGATTCAGATTAAAGTGCCATTTAAAGACTTAACTAGGTTCTGTTAATTAGGAAAGTTGGAAGTCAAGTTATTGTAGGACTGGCTTGTTGTGTAGAGAATCAAAACATATACAGAGAACATTTCTTAAGGAGGCGAATAATACTGACCTTTTTATTAAAAACTGCTTGCATTCAATACAAACAGTAAGAAATAAGATTTACTGTATGACTCTAGAAGAATTATTTTTGTTTTATAGGAAATACTGTGAAGATTTCTTTGGTTTATTAAAGATCATTTGAGGAAACTTAATTTAAATTAATGGGAGGGCAAAAAAATTACTTCAACTGCATCTGTTAAAGTTTACAGGTGCAAAAAATGTGCCTTGATGTACTTGAATGTTAGAAATGTGTTGCCCTATTACAATACAAAGTTCCTTTGCAAGTAAATTAACAAGGAAGATTATTTTGAGTTTATGTTATTCAATTAGCTTATTTAAGAAGACTGCAGAGTGATGCATGAAATAAAAGATTTTGATTAATTGTTTAGGTAGTTTGTGATGCATTTTAAAGTGTGCCCCCTAAAAGTACAAGTGGCCCCTGCCCGGCCTCCCCAGTCACTCTGGCCTAGAACAGCCACTGGTCATGACTAAACAATAGTAAATAGATTGTAGATCAATCTATGTGAATTCATAGATTGTATTCACCTATACCACACGTCTTTGGACTTGTGGGGGAAATTAGAGCACCCGGAGGAAACCCACGCAAACGTGGGGAGAACATGCCAACTCCACACAGAAACGCCAACTGACCCAGCTGAGGCTTGAACCAGGGACTGTCCTTCCCACTGTGCCACCATGAAGCCCTTATTAATTTATTTATTGTTGGTGGAAATATATTGAAATGTTTTATGAGGGTTAAGGAATAATAAATTTTTTTTTTAGATCAAATCAAATCAGAAAGTGAAAGGATGTTCTACACTTTACATCCTTAAAGTAAAGCAGATTCTGTAATTCAGTTTTTTCGTCTTTTGTCTTTTACTGATAAAAATGTTGACTGAATATTTACGTTATTCATATCAGTTCTGCACCACTTCTTGTTTATAGCAAATAATAACTTCATTTATAACAATATAATGTCATTTTTTTATGGCTTTTTGAGTTATCAGCTAGTATTAGTTGTCTTCTATTTTTTAATAGACTGTTATGATTAGAGCACAGTTTATTGCCTGTATGACTGCACTGCACTATGCAAATGGAATTGTCATTAGCTCAGTGATTGCGTTATAGATTGTTCTTCCTAATGGTAATTACATCTGAGACTCGTATGCACCCGAGGTAATTATACTTGAGCTGCAATAAGTCTTGAATTTCAATTAAACATGCTTTGACAACAGCTCTGATTATAGACTGCATTTACTGTAAACCACATCTGTAAGACATGCTGTAGTATGAACAGAACAATTTCAGAGTCAAACCTGATTCAGTTTAACATGTCAGGCTTGGCTAAGTTTTTTTTCTAAAGGAGAAATTGCTAATTGATAAAATTGCTTAAATTACTTTATTTACTTTGTCTAAAAAGTCAATCACTTAATACTCGATTCAACACTAAAATCTCGACATATTTCAATGCACGGACAATAGAAATTAAACTTTTAATTTGAGCCAAACAGGGCCTTTTCACTAATATTAAAAAAATAATGAATAATATACATTAGGGCTGCACAACATATAGTTTCAGGATCTGCAATGTCATTATGCCTTAATTTGATTGGGATTATAGTTAATTTTTTGAAAGATTAATTGAAATTGTTTTAAACAGTAAAGACTATGCAGTGTTTTCATATCGCAATATATATAGCATTGCCAGTTTTTTCAATATTGTGCAGACACAAAAGTTATCTGATTAGAGTAACTTAATCAATAGATAGAGTAACTTAATAAATGTGGCCTACTTTAGTTGGAAATGTGAATATTTCAGCAAAATATAAATGTATAGTAAAAGACACAATCTCTTTGCTACTCTGAAGTGATTTATAGAGAACTGTTGAATTTATGTATTGTATTTAAGGCAGATACAGTTAAAGTAACTAATAAAAATTACCTAAAAAAGAAAAGTAATCATGTACTTTGTCAGTAGAAAAATAATCTAATTAGAGTATTTTACTTTAATAAATTGTCTTGGTTAATGTTGCCAGCTTTATTTAGTTACCTAAATATAAACGTATTGTAAAAAAACAGAATTCCTCTACTTCTGTGAGGTATGTATAGAGAACTGTTGAATTTATTTACACTATTTAAGGTCGGTATATTACTAATAACTAACTAAAATTACCTAAAAATTTAAAGTAATCCTTTTTCAGCAGAAAAGTAATCTAATTAGAGTAACTCGTTACTTTAATAAATTGTCTTGGTTAATGTTGCCAGCTTTAGTTAGTTAGCTAAATATAAACGTATTGTAAAAAAACAGAATTCCTCTACTTCTGTGAGGTATGTATAGAGAACTGTTGAATTTATTTACACTATTTAAGGTCGGTATATTACTAATAACTAACTAAAATTACCTAAAAATTTAAAGTAATCCTTTTTCAGCAGAAAAGTAATCTAATTAGAGTAACTCGTTACTTTGATAAATTGTCTTGGTAATTGTGGCCTTCTTTAGTTGAAAATGTGAATATTTCAGCAAAATATAAATATATAGCAAAATAAACAATCCCTCTGCTTCTCTGAAGTGATTTTTACAGAACTCTTGAATTTATTTATTGTATTTAGGTACAGTAAAAGTAAATAATAAAAATGACCTAAAAATAAAAAGTAATCCTTAACTTTTTCAGCAGAAAAGTAATCTAATTAGAGTAACTCGTTACTTTGATAAATTGTCTTGGTAATTGTGGCCTTCTTTAGTTGAAAATGTGAATATTTCAGCAAAATATAAATATATAGCAAAATAAACAATCCCTCTGCTTCTCTGAAGTGATTTTTACAGAACTCTTGAATTTATTTATTGTATTTAGGTACAGTAAAAGTAAATAATAAAAATGACCTAAAAATAAAAAGTAATCCTTAACTTTTTCAGCAGAAAAGTAATCTATTTAGAGTAATTGGTTACTTTGATAAATTTTCTTGGTAAATGTGACTTTCTTTAATTGAAATTTTCAGCAAAATATAAATGTATAACGAAAAACAAGTCCAATGTCTTTGGACTTGTGGGGGAACCACAAGAACATGGGGAGGACATGCAAACTCCACACAGAAAATGCCAACTGACCCAGCTGAGGCTCAAACCAGCAACCTTCTTGCTGTGAGCTGAAAGTGCTACCTACTGCACCACTGCATTTCCCTGATTTATACAGAAGTGTTGAATTTATTTACACTATTTAAAAACGGTATATGACGAGTAACTAAGTTAAATTTCCCCAAAATGAAAAGTAATCCTTTTTCAGCAGAAAAGTAATCTAATTAGAGTAACTAGTTACTTTGATAAATTGTCTTGGTAAATGTGGCCTTCTTTAGTGGAAATCTTCAGCACAATATAAATGTATAACACATAAACACAATTCCTCTGCTTCTCTGAATTGATTTATACAGAACTGTTGAATTTATTTACACTATTGAAGGCCGGTATTTTACGTGTAACTAAGTTAAATTACCCAAAAATGAAAAGTAATCCTTTACTTTTTCAGCAGAAAAGTAATCTAACTTGAGTAACTAGTTACTTTGATTAACTCTACAGTAATTTGTGCTTCTCTGAATTGATTTATATAGAACTGTTGAATTTAATTACTGTATTTAAGATGGCTATATTAAAAGTAACTAATTAAAATTGCCTAAAAATAAAAAAGGAATAGCTTACTTTGCGTTTTCAGAGGATAAGTAATCTAATTACAGTAACTCGTTACATTGTAAGTAATTACACCCAACACTGGTTCTGACTGGATATTTAGCCAATTTGGTTTTCTCTGGGGAAAGACAGGTGAAGGACGAGACACTTTGAGTCTCTTCAGATCAATATCAATCCCAAAGCTCCCTTCAAGACACTTTGAGAGTTTCTCATTGGCATTCCCTTCACTCTTTGTCTGTAGGCAATAAAAATGTGGTAGTAAGAGAGTACATGGACCGCATGAAGAACGGCTGTATCGTCTGCAACATGGGCCACTCCAACACTGAGATTGATGTGGTGAGGGGAAAAAAAAAAACATCTCTAATCTATAAATCAATAGGTTTCCGACAGTGTTGTTCATCAATACGTCATCTTTAAATGTTTCAGGCCAGTCTGCGAACTCCTGAACTGACCTGGGAGCGTGTAAGGTCGCAGGTGGACCATGTGATCTGGCCGGACGGGAAGAGAATAGTGCTGCTGGCAGAGGTTTGAGGGGATTTTCTAAGATATATACGATGTTGATGTAATTATGCTGTGAACCCAATACATTTCTACTTGTTGTTTATAAAGAAAGTCTAATGAAGAAACTTGAGCTTATTATTAAAGAGTAATTTACATCCTACTGTTAAGGTGTAATTATAGATGTGTTGTAAGGGTGATTATATATTGGGTCATAATATATTGCAATACTAAATGCAACTATGTGTACTGTGTTGTGGGTATTTGCAAAGCATATTGTGTTTAGTTCAGCCCAAATTAAGCTTTAGACATATTTAATTCACCATATATGTAATAACACAAACATGGTATTGCTGAGTTAATTTGACTATTATTAATAATATTATTGTTATTATCAGTACTGTGCTGGTTACTGAAAAATAGTTAAAGTTTCTAGTTACCTCATTCAAATAGAAACTCAATTACTTTATTGATTGCTTACATCAAAAGGTGAATTCACTGCATTACTATTGAAAGTATTTTAAGTCAAAGAGGTCCGATTCATAGACGTGTATTTTACAAGCTAAACTTATTTTTGCTCTTAATTGGAAAACTATAAATGAAGCTAGAATAGGAACGTGGATTAAAGAAATGGCATCACATATGTCAATGGAAAAGATCTCATTCATTGTCAAAAAGAAAAAAGAAAATGTGTTTGATGATATCTAGAGACTAGAGAGATATCAATGTAAATGTTGGCAGTCTGCTACAACAAGAACAGACTTAGAGGGAGTAGGGGAGTATCATGGTCTAAACATAGACTCAGGAAACACTCTTTACCCGATTTAAAACAAAATTCTTGTTTGTCTACTTATTTAATTTATTCCTTTTTTTTAAGGGAATGTGTTGATGGAAGGGAGAATAGGGTGTAAAAAGTTTGCTGTGTCTACATGATTATTATTCTGTAACTGTAATCTGTTGTGAAATGCAAATTGAAGTAATAAATATTTTGTACCAAAAAAAAAGTATTTTAATTATTTAAAAGAATGCACGTTTAATCCGCTTCAGTTTTAATTCATTTGCATTCTCACAACTAAAACACAAAACAGACTTTAAGTAATTTTTAAGGTGATAAACCAGCCGATTAATATAATCAGAAACAAAACAACAAAAACTAAAGTTTTAGCGTCATAAACGTTTGTATTTACAGTAACCCTTAAACATGTTCCTTCACAGCTTGAGGATGAAACCTAGCAAAAATAATACAACAAATACAAAAGCTTTATGAAATAAATAAACGAAAGTAACCTGAATTACCATTCAGAATCAGTTTGGTGAAACTTGTCACCAAAAAAAACTATTATGGACAACCATATATTTAATGCATTTTAAACTAAACAAAAACAAATCAGCTGCATCTACTAAACAAGTCATTTGTGTTATACAGATAGCAAATGTGTGCTTATTTATTTAAAGCAGCCGCACGCAAATAGTTGAATCAAAAAATAAGATTAATATAATATTTGTTGAATAAAATGAATCTATTATGTATTGCCCACATTTTTTTTAAATAAATTATATATTGTACATACTTTTCTAGTCTACAAAGATTTTTAACTTGTGTTAAAAAAAGCATTTAAAGAACACTTTGGGGGGAAAAAGCTAATGCAACTAGTGGAAATTAATGGATTTCAATATACTTGTTCAAGTTCACTGAAGCAGTACTAAAAATGTATATTTAAGGGTATTTTTAATGTATAACTTCTACAAACAATGCAAAGAATTTGGAAATAGCACCTCTCCAATCCAGTTCTATGAATCTGAGTCTTCTATAATACACACGCTTATTAATGATTCCTACTTGTCTTCCTCGTGATGAAGAGTAGGCAAAATCTGATATGTAATGGGGGGGGGGGGGGGGGAGTAGAGCGTTTTCATCAGACGCATCAAAAGATGTTGACATGCGGCTTACGAGATACGCCACTCATGCTGCTGTCTGTTGCGCTCTTTAGTTTTGTTGTCTCTGTCAATCAAGCGGTGATGGGTGTGAATCGCTTAACTAGTTTATTCCAACGAGGTGTGCTATTTGCACTTAGCCTAAATAGATAGTCCAAAATCTGCATTCCGCTCCACCCGCAGGGGCCCCAAGTGCGAACGGGCTTCTGGGCCTTTGCCTATAATGCCCATTGGTTAATCCAGTCCTGGTAGTAATAGTTAAGTATATTTAGGTATTTACTATGTATAACTAATTATAGTAATGTTAGTAGTCTCTCTGTTTCTCTCGCGTGCATGTTCGGTCTACCTTGTGCGCAGTCGGTATCTCGTGCGCACACCCGTTCTCTCTCGCGCGCACTCGGTCTCTCTGCTTTCCCTTGACTTTTGTCTTGACTTTACACAATGTGTCTTCTTTACAGTGGTGGGTTGGCATCCACCAATCCCACAATGCGTCACCGCATTGGGAAGATGTAGGCTAGACTGCAGCCAAAATTAATTAAATTATCAAGTAACGGACCAGCGCATCATTTTGTAAAAGTAACAAAGTTAATATATTTAAGAAGTAATGTGTTACAGTATTAGTTTCTGTCAAAAGTAATGCCGTCACAGTTCCATATTATTAATAACGCGTTACTGCCAAAAACTGATTATTATTAATTAAAAACAAAACTAAAATGATATGAAAGGCATTTCTGATGACAATACAAATAGTAATTTTTTTAAAAACTGCTATTTTAATGACCATTAGATTTGGTTAATGTGCTTATCGTACGTTATAATCAGTTATATATTATAATTAATCAATTATTGACTTTATTTAATTGTTATTGTTGTGAATATTGCTGCTGTTTTTCTTTTTTATTATATTGTGTGTGTGTGTATATATATATATATATATATATATATATATATATATATATATATATATATATATATATATATATATATATATTAGTCATTATTGTATACAGTTAATTATTATCATTATTTAAATTTTTTTAATTTTTATTGTTAAATTTGTCGTGAAAATAGTCTTCTAATGACACATTATTACTATTTCTTAATCGTTTTAATCACTTATTTGTATATACTTCCAGGGTCGCCTCTTAAACCTGAGCTGCTCCACTGTTCCTACCTTTGTGCTGTCTATCACTGCTACAACCCAGGTGAGAATAGAAGAACAAATGATGAAAAACTAACACAGATGCCTTTATTAAACTGGTTATTAATGTGCTTTATGCAAGAGAATTGGACTTCGCAGTTCAATCAGAGAATAGCTTTCTTGGTCTATTTGCAGTGTGAGAGTATGAACCCCAAGCGTTTCATATATACGTGTGTGTGTGTGTGTGTGTGTCACAGTCCTGCTGTTGTCATGGTGACTGATTTCTTGCTCCTTTTTCCCCAGGCTCTGGCTCTGATAGAGCTCTACAATGCTCCCGAGGGCCGCTACAAACAGGACGTCTACCTGCTGCCGAAGAAAATGGGTGGGATATTTGTTTTAGAAATACATGCACAGTAAGATGCTTTGTGTAAACCCAGCGAAATGAAGGGTTCTGCATGATGCTCAGTTGCTTATGTTCAACTGAAACAAGCATCAAATGCAGTCAGATCCTCAAATGCGTTAATATTATGGCCGTCTATGGGTTTAATCGCCGCAATATGTTTAGTTTGGAACATGCATGGATGTTTTCCGCCTTTTGCGGTGAGTTTAGCCATGTGGGATCATGCATTGAGCCTGAGGAGCAGGAGACAGCTGAAAATAGGTCACGCTGTCACAAACGGCTGCCACTTTTCACTGCAGACTCTGCTGCATTCTGCTCCGCTCCCTCCACAAACACTCATCCGCTCCACTGCCGTTCATCTGTTCATGCCAAACCCGCAGCTCACACTCATAGACACATGCAGTACAAATATAAGACTGACTGGAGAGATTGAAGCTTGTAATAGAGAGATAAATAATGGCCTGTTCTGATCGGAGAGTGTCTTTGCTCAATTTTAATTCAGATTTGATCAAGCCTATTGGTATGTACTCTGTCTGTTAATTAAGAGGTTACTGTTTTTGTTCCTGTTTACTTACGGTTTTAGGTTGAATTATGGGATGTCTGTCTCTGCTCTGTCGACTTTTGATGATGAACATCCGACTGTGCACTTTATCAAAGTGACTATTACTAATGTTTTAGTGGTTTAAAACAATATATTGTATACTAAATAATATGGAGAATTAAGTTTGTAAAACAACTGAAAAAGCACTTGTACTTTATTACCAGATTTTTGTATCCGTATTTACAACATCAAACCAGACAGCATATCAAGTCACTTTTTAAGACTTTTCAGCATCAAAAGTTGTTTGAGAAGAAAAGATTGTGGTCCTACATTGCAATTTAAAATAATAATATTATTAATAAGTAAAATAATAATGATGATGATGATGATTATGATAATAATAATAATAATAATAGTAATATTAATAACGATGATGATGATAAAAATTATGATAATAATAATAATGATTACATAATAATAATAACGACAATAATGATGATGATAATAATAATAGTAATAATAATAATGATGATAATAATAACAATAATTAGCTTGATGATAATAATGATGATGATAAATTATGATAATAATAATGATGATGATAAAAATATGATAATATTTATAATAATAATGATGATAAAAATTATGATAATATTAATAATAAAAACCATGAATTTCAATGTACAGAACTTTATTAATTTTTGAACATGCTAAAATGCTTAAACCATCTCACTCTGCATGTCTGAAATCTTCTAAAATGTATTTGAGATTGTACTAATTGTTCAGTCATCATAAAGTCTCTCTATTTTTCTTAATCAGTTATTTTATTGCTAAAATATCTCCATTATCTGTTACCATTTCATGCTTAGTCTGAGTTTCATTCATGAGTCAGTAATCCATTTTAAGTGATGCAAATTTCTCAATGTTGGCAACATGGTGGCACCTCAGTTTTCCCAATATTTTGGTTTTGTCACACATATGCTTTACACAATTGGCATAAACGATTATCTATTGGTACAAAGTGTGCCCCAAAAAACTAATCATTTTCAAAACCTTACCAAAACCTTACTTTGGCGGGCAGCTATCTACCTACTAATCTCACATGGTCGCCCACTGAAGCTAAGCAGGGCTGCGCCCGGTTAGTACCTGGATGGGAGACCACATGGGAAAACCAGGTTGTTGCTGTTGTTAGTGAAACCAGTGCTTTGAATGTCGAGAAAAATGCTATATAAAATTATTATTATTATTATTATTATTACAATAAAAAATAAAATAAAAGACACTGTTTCCATCCAAAGCAAATCTATAAAACTTGACAATTGTTCCAATTGTTTTTCCAGTGCAGTAATAATATAAATGATTCTAGATGATGTGAATTTGCTTATGCTTTTTCTGCAGATGAGTATGTGGCCAGCCTTCATCTCCCTACATTTGATGCACACCTGACTGAACTGTCTGATGAACAGGCCAAATACCTCGGCCTCAACAAAAACGGACCCTTTAAGCCAAACTACTACAGGTCAGTGACTTTTCAGTGAGAGCATTTTTACGTCATATCAATGACTTTCTTAATAATACTAAATAATACTAAATAATAATGTGTCCTTTTTAGGTACTAGACCCAAACTAAAGAAGACTAAAGAAATCACCAAGACTCCATATTTCATACAGACTAAGACGAGCCAGAGCTGTGTGTGTGTCGCAGCCTGCTATTGGAAAGGAGGGAGAATCCCTAATCTGATTGGTCGAGGGTAAAATGGGCGTGGCTAATTAGCGCTACGGCAGTGTTTATTTATTTTACGCTAGAATAACATAGCTAACCTTTTTATGAGCTGCTACTGCCAGTGGTGCAACCTAGCGACGTTTCCATGATCTTTTCTTAGCTTCATGTGTTAGTTGTACGTAATCCATTTAGAGAACTTTTATTGTTTAACTATTCTAAGTTAAAAAAAAAATAATCGAAAGATAAAAAGAAACAAAAAAAAAGGAGAAATGTTTGATCATACCTAATGATTTAGTCATGGACATGCCACGTTGTCCTGTTCTCTTGTTTTCTACATGTGTTTTTGTTTTCTTTATGTATAAAAAAAGGGTGGGACTGAATTACGGTTGTTCAAATCGCTCTTAGTTGATCACACTATTCTTTTATTGTTGTTTTTTTATTGTATTCATTTTACAGCAAAAATTTTAACACTTTACATGCTCTCTCTCTCTCTCTCTCGGTTCCAAATAAAAGCTGTTGAAATTGGATTGTGAACGATTTGGAGGGCGGGGCTTATCCCCTTCGTTCACTCAGACTGGAAGCTCATTGGCTGAGGCATTAGCATCTAAAAAAAAAATTCCCAATCCACAACCACTAAAACACCAGTATTGACGTTTGAGATCGAAATAACTCAAACGGTTGTGCATTTTCACCAATCTATCCACACTGAAACTAACCGCAGGGGTGTATATTGAGATATTTATACAACGTTTTTGTTTTTAAATGTGTTTCATCATCTTTTGTTCCTATGAACTCGTCCTCTGTCATTATGAAAATAAGCAATTACATGTTCTAAGATACACTAGTGTAATAATATGAACTTTAAGGAAACCCTTGTTTTATATACTGTGAAGTAGAGCCTATATCGATGAAATACCAAATGTACAGTTCATCCGGTACCGAGTTTCTTTCCAGATCCTCTGCAGATTTTAGACAATGGGAGAGAGATGTGGGTTGAAACTGAAGTCAAGACCAACTGTGTGTACTCATTTCAGAGGATCGAAAGCTTTTGGGGAGTTTCTTTTTGTTTTGTTTTTTGCAGGCCTGTTGAGCAAAACTGCCTTTGTGACTGGGATGTTCAAATCTAATAAAATTGGGACCTTTATTTTACTATACTTCTGAAAAGCAGATATTTATCTCCTCTTTGCCATCTGTGTTTGTCATAAAGGGAATCAAAATGACTTTGCGTTTCTTGTTTAATGTGGCGTCGCTTTCATTTGCTCAGGACTGTCTCGTGTGTGCATGTGCGTGCGTGCGTGTGTGGTGTAATTTAGCCAGCAACAAGTTTTACAATCAGTCGTTGCAGTTCCTTTAGCCTGGTTTATACTTCTGCGTCCGTCAAGTGATTGGCGTGATCCACAGCGCATACAACGCGTGTAGCTGTGCATCCATACTTCTGCACGCTGTTTCTGTTGCTCTGCAATAACACTTCCGAAACGCTAGTTGGCAGTGAGGTGTTTATGTTCCTCTGTGTCGAGTTTCTTTGCTGGTGTTTAGTTTTTTTTTTCTGTACAATTTCTTAATGTACAAGCGGTTCAAACTCGCTCATTTTAAGGGAGGAATCGGCGGACATGCAACAACTTTAACCATGAGGTAAACGCACAACAAAACTTTCCATCCGGAGCTCCTTCACTGGACTCCACACTTTTAAACACTCGCTCCAACGGACTCACGTGGCTCTCGGTCCCACCCACATTTGACATCGCTACCAAGCTGACCAATCACAGAGCTTGCGCTACACATCGTTCGACGTTGCAGTGACACCGACGGCCACGGCGAGGGCTATGCATCCACGAGAGGCTGCTTGATGCAGAAGTATAAATCAGCCTTTAGGGTGTACTCACACTAGGCTATCCAGACTTTTCCCAGGCATGTTTGACCCCATTTCCTATTTTTTTGTTTGACAAGTAGGAGTGCTCCGCATCGGGCCCAGGTGCAGTTCAGAGGTGTGCCAGAACGTGGTTTGGTTGTGCATTTGGCTTGGTACTCTTATAGTCTGAGTGCAAACGTTAAACTGAACACCCGATGTCACTTTTAAGGGACTAATTTATATGGATTTACTAACCAATTTTACTTTTCAATGAATTTGCTTGTCAGAGCTGATTGAAGATGCAACCTGCGCTGTATGACAGCTGCACCTTCAGCAAACCTCCTAATACCTGCAGCGCGATGGCTTTCACAATCATTTATGAGCTTTCAAAGTGGAGGATCTGTTCGGTGAAAGGTTTGACTGTGTCACTGCATATTAAATGACTTAAAATGATACAAGACAGCTTAAATAAAGCAATTTCCATTGTACAGAGCGAGAGCACATCATCCATGACGTAAGCATGCTTGGTCTCGGAAGGCAGAAAATGCAATGTGAGTGCAGGGAGAGGGCTTGCTGAGTGTGAGTACACCCTTACACTTTTGTTTCTCATGTTCAATCCACTTCAGTTTGTTACATTAACTTAATCAGTTTGCGATGGGACAGCATGAAGGAATTGTGTAAATTTTATTTTTACAGTGTATAGCAAAACCCTAAAGGCATATAACAGTGTTACATTTCCTCCCAGACGTCCTACAAACACAAGGCGAGTTAAACGGTTGTTAGTATGTCCTGCTCTCGTAGTTTTGTATCCATCAACATTAGTATTAAAAATGTCAAATGTAATATGGGTATAAAATGTAAAAATGGACTCCCCGTATCTCCTCGATAATCTTCATTCGGTGTCTGTTTAACGCAGGATCTCTGTACTGAAGCACATCCGTTTGTGTTCGTCCTGTTTAAATGTGTTCAACCTGTTGTCTTAATTTTTGGTGTGTGTGTATGTTTGTGTGTTCGAAGAGGCTCTTGTACAAAATAAAAATAAAAAGTGTGTGTTTGCTGCTGTGTGGCAGCAGACGACGGTGGGTGGAGGATATTTCCGGATGGATTTATGAAGCGCATTGGGATCTACACCAGCACCTCTCGACATGAAGAAACTAGAACATCTGTATATTTATTGTTGTAAATCTTCACTACGATTAAGAAAGTCTTCAATGAGTTGTCGATAATGTTTTAATATTGCAAGTGATGGTAGATGAGCAATAATCTGTAATTTTGACGAACAAAAGACTTAAATAAAATCCACAAGTGTAAACATTTTTTGCAGGTATTACCGACTGCAGTAATTTTCTTTTGCATAAAATCAGATTTTATATTTATTTATTTATTTATTTATTTATTTATTTATTTTCTTTGATTTGATTGTTTATACACATACAAATGACCTTTGCTGTTTGTTCAACCTACTTGTTTATATTAGGACAACTTAAATGTTTTAGTAATAATTCCTTATATTTATATCGAGCTTTTCTGGACACTCGAATCACATTAAGCAGTTTTTAGGGAAATCTCATCTGCCACCAGTGTGCAGCGTCAAACTGGATGATGTGATGGCAGCCGTATTGCACCAGACACCAGGGGCCTCATATACTAAGACTTGCGTTGAATTAATACTAAAACATTGCGTACGGACAAAGCTGTAAATGTGGTTACACAGTAAAAATTCGTACGCCGAACCACACGCATATTCTCTTAACATGAATCTGAGCGCATGTGCATGAGCGCAAAACCCCTCCCTGCCTCCTCCCTCTTATAAATATGGTAATGGCTCCATTTTGGCAAAACCAAAAAAGCAATGGCAAAAGCAAGCAAGAAGAGAAACTTCACTGAAGGTACTGGAGGTAGACCGGAGAAAATAGGTGTATATGCAAGTTTATCCTCCGGAATTAATAACAACATTTAAAAAAATAGAGTGGGAGAGTTTAGCTGACGCAGTTAACGCAGATGTGGTCTGAACATTGCACTGTGAACGAATTCAAAAAGAAATGGTCCAATGTAAGAGCAGAACAGCAGCGCACTGTTAACTCTTTTAGGAGAGAGTTGCCTCAATTGTAGGCGACACTTTACTGTCTGGAGTAGTATCCGTGTCTGTGGGAGACACAGATGTATTAGAAGAACACTTTGTTAGGACAGTATAGCAGCACCCTTCTACTCCTATCAAGGCAGCACCTCTGGCATTTCAGCCGCCCAGTCGCCCGCTCTAGAACATGACCAAATGTGAGGATGGGCATCATTGTATCTGCGCTCTTGGTCTATTTCTGAGTTGTTGAGGGGGGTTAACAGCCACGTCTTTACTGGATAATTGTTCTTCCTAAATGCCTTCTATGTGTTTTGAAAGTGCTCAATAGGGGTTTAAGTGCTGCACTGTTTTAAACTAACCCGAATGTAGTTGTAGATTTGTAAATGCTCAGTGAAAGTGTGGACACTGTTATGATGCCTTTAGGAAAACATCTGATATACCTAAATTAAGCTATTTTAATGCTGCTAATATTATTGTTTAGCTTAGTCACTTTGTATATTTGTGGGCTCTGAGGTCAGGCAGTGGAGGTATAATTGGACACTGGAGCGTTTATTCTGGACACATGATGGTGTGTGGAGGGTTTGTATGTATCTGCTGTTGTCAATCACATCTTCAGTCTCTGTATTCTGACCTGTTACACATGACTGTGAGAGTGCTGCTCTCTGATACTAAAAGTCATTTTTAATAATTATATTTAAGGGTCATATGATGAATTTATCAAAATACAGTTTAAGCCAGAATTATTAACCCTCCTGAATTATTTTCCCCCGAATTCTGTTTAATGGAAAAGATTTTTTCTACACATTTCTAATGATAATAGTTTTAATAACTCATTTCTAATAACTGATTTATTTTATCTTTGCCTTGAAGACAGTAAATAATATTTGACTAGATATTTTTCAAGACACTAGTATTCAGCTTAAAGTAACATTTAAAGGCTTAACTAGGTTAATCGGGCAAGTCAGGGTAATTAGGCATTGTATAACGATGGTTTGTTCTGTAGACAACCAAAAATTAATATTGCTTAAAGGGGCTAATAATATTGACCTTAAAATGGTGTTTAAAAAAATAAAAACTGCTTTTATTCTAGCTAAAATAAAACAAGAAGAAAAAATATCAAAAATATTGTGATAAATTCCTTACTCTGTTAAACATCATTTGGGAAATATTAAAACAAATAACAGGTCTAATAATTATGACTTCAATTGTATATAATTGTTGAGTGTGAACTCGAAATAGTGGGGTGAGTTAAAGGATTAGCCTAATTCTCTGTTTTTAAGATGATAAGTGTCACAATGTGGCTCTTTCTGGCTGGGGGGAAACGTCTTTCTGTTCCTCAGTGTGAAGAATGGCACTTTGTTTGTTCGTATCACAATTCACAACAGACCACAACAGTGACAAATGTGTCTTTCTTGGGTTGACTGGTGGATTTTACTTTTTATATATTTTCTATATATATTTTATATTCGACCACTACTGCAAAAGTGGTAGAAAATTACACTTGAATCAATTATTATGTGTTTTCTAAAACAATGTGAATTTAGTATCATGTTTTAATTTTATATTGTCGAAAGAAATATATAAGTAGGCTATATAATGACCATTATATTTATATATACAGTTGAATTCAAAATTTTTAGCCTCCTGAATTATTAGACTCCCTGTTTATTTTTCCCCCTAATTTCTGTTTAACGGAGAGAAGATTTGTTTCAACACATTTTTAAACATTTTAACAACTCATTTCTAATAACTGATTTATTTTATCTTTGCCATGATGACAGTAAATAATATTTGACTAGATATTTTTCAAGACACTTCTACACAGCTTAAAGTGACATTTAAAACCTTAACTGGGTTAATTAGGTTAACTAGGCAGGTTAGGGTAATTAGGCAAGTTATTGTATAACAGTGGTTTGTTCTGTAGATTATCGAGCAAAAATATATTGCTTAAAGGGGCTAATAATTTTGTCCCTAAAATTGTGTTTAAAAAATTAAAAACTGCTTTTAATCTAGCTGAAACAAAACAAATAAGACTTTCTCTAGAAGAAAAAATATTATCAGACATACAGTGAAAATTTCCTTGCTCTGTTAAACATCATTTGGAAAATATTTAAAAAAAAAAAAAAAAATTTAAAGGGGGCTAATAATTCTGACTTCAACTGTGTGTGTGTGTGTGTGTGTGTGTGTGTGTGTGTGTGTGTGTGTGTGTGTGTGTGTGTGTGTGTGTGTGTGTGTGTGTGTGTGTGTGTGTGTATATATATATATATATATAATTTTAGATAACTGTACTACGACTAATAAAATATATTAAGTTCATATTTTCATTGTTATTTTTTTAGCAGGGAATCCGTATTACACAATGTTTTTTGTTCATTCATTTACTGCAGGTTTTACATTTTATGCATCCCAAATATCTAAAAACCTGAAATGGAATATTACAATACAAACAAACAATATTTTCATTTTTATTTAAAATTTTATCTCAACGCTGGAATATCACATTGATGTGTACATAATCCTGGCTTGCTTGGTTTGGGACTTGTGGAGCTGTCGATGGATTTGCCTTTCAGTGTTTGGACTTTTTAAACCACACCGAGCTGAACTTCAACTGGACTGACAGTTTCTATTTACTATAACTTTTGTGTCAAGCTGCTTCGACACAAACTACATTGTAAATGTGACAAAGAAATAAAGATGAATTGAATTAAATAATCAATAAGCAATTACAAAAAAAGGTAAGCATTGACACCTACGCTTTAACTTAGTTTAATTAATTAATTAATTATTATTATTTATTTTAATAATCAATGGGAAATTGTAATAGTGATTGCACCTTCCCATGGGTTATTAATAATTTTTTTTTATCTAAAGCTTAATTCAACTATAATTATTATTACATTTCATTAGTAACCCATGGGAAATTGTATTAGATTGATTGCAGCTTCCCAGATATTAAATTAAAATTTAAAAATGAAGTATATTTAAAGCCAAAATATAATTTACATTATATAACGAAAGCTTATTTTGACTTTAAATAAACTTTATTTATTTTTTTATTTTATTTAATATCTGGGGAAGCTGCAGTCACTATAATACAATTTCCTATATGGGTTATTTATAAAATGTAACAATAATAATTTAATTAATTTAAAATGGTAAGCGTTATACTTTAGTTTATTTAAATTTTTTTTTTTAATGAAAAATAACCCATGGAAAGTTGCAATCACTGTAATACAGTTCCCGATGGGTTATTAAAAATGTAAATAATAATGTTAATTAGTTAATTAAAATAAACGCATAAGTATCAATGCTTACCTTTTTTGTAATTGCTTATAGATTATGTATACATCGATGAGGTATTCAAACTTTAAGATGAAAGCAAAACTAGTCATAGAAAAGCTTTCACCATCATCATCATCATCATTATTATGTGCTCTCCAGATTGCAGTATGGTGGCACCTGCATTCTCGTGGTCAAGCGCGGCGTGGGCGTGGCTAGAAGCTTACGTCACATCAATCCACGCCTATATTGTGTTTCGCAGCCAATTAGATCTGCGGGGCCGGATATTATTCTGAACTTGGGATCCAGCAGCGTCTGTTCCAGGGTGACAAGCGTATTTCCAAAACGGAGAGCAGATTCACAGCCTGACAGATGCAGCAGACCGACGATATGGAGGTACCTTTAATTCATGATTCTAACAGTAACACACACACGTGTCTGCCTCAAGAGAGAGATGGGTTTCATCAGCAGAAGGATTCGGAGGTAATCCGAGCACGCTGACAGTTTGCAGGGGTGTGTGTGTGTGTGTGTAAGGTGACTGTTGCTGGGGGCTTTTAAATGCCTCGAGTTTTAGTAGCATGCTTGGTGCTAAAAATACATTCTCCTTTGAAATCTCATCCAGTTGAACGCTGGCTAATGGTTCAATAGCGGATTTGGACATGCGTTTGCTTCATGTGTATTGCCTTTGAAGGGTCAATATTATGAAGGGTTCTGTCATTTGTTTCTGTCAGTAATTCCCGCTCCTTCCACTGTATATGTATGTATGTATGTGTGTGTGCGCACATGCGCGTGTGAAATGTGCTGAGCGTGTATGCATCTGGCTCTATACGTGTGTAGTGCTGTATCCTCATGTTAACTCGTCGCTGTCAGTGGCCGCAGATTCCAGTGCATCATGATAGGGATCTATAGAAACCAGTGAGGGTTTAGCTTTACACATATAGAATGTTATTATAAAGCATCTCTTGTGTTTTTGCTCTTTAAGTGGCTAATATCTATCTATCTATCTATCTATCTATCTATCTATCTATCTATCTATCTATCTATCTATCTATCTATCTATCTAATTCTTGTCATCGCTCTCGTTCTTTCTGATGTTCTATCATCCTTTCATTTCATCAAATGTTCTTTTTTCCATCCATTCATCCAATTTGATGTTATCCATCCATCCATGATTCTATCTATCCATCTATCCATCTATCTATCCATCTATCTATCCATCTATCTATCTATCTATCCATCCATCCATCCATCCATCCATCTATCCATCTCACACACATGACCTTTGACCTATAACCTAAACAACAAATAAATGTCAATCATGTCGTTACACATATTATTAATGTTTTATTTCCCACCTATAAGAAATAAATTGATGCCATCTACCTGTAGATACGTAGATGAAGAGGCGCCCTCTAGTGTATCTAGGGTGATAATGGTCTGTGTTCGAACTGGCTAAAATGTGCAATGACGTTAGCCGCTTCAAACATTACAGGGGGCGCTAAACTGCGGTTTTCTCTGTGTTATTATCTATGATGTTTAACAGAGTAAATGAATGTTCCTATCTATCTATCTATCTATCTATCTATCTATCTATCTATCTATCTATCTATCTATCTATCTATCTATCTATCTATCTATCTATCTATCTATCTATCTATCTATCTATCTATCTATCTATCTATCTAATTCTTGTCATTGCGCTATCGTTCTTCCTGATGTTCTATCATCCTTTAATGTCATCAAATGTTTTTCCATATATCCATTCATCTAATTTGATGTTATATCCATCCATACATCCATCCATCCATCTGATTTCATATCATCCTTTCTATCTATCCATCTATCTGTCTGTCTGTCTGTCTGTCATTTTCAGCTCTATCGTTCTTTCTGATGTTGTTCTATCATGTTTTTGTTTGATCAATTGTTCTGTCATCCATCCATTCATCATTCTCCTCAGTTCTACGTGACGTTACATCATCCTTTTATTCTATTTTATTTGTCTATCATCATTTTTTCCTGATGTTCTATCATCATTTCATTCCATCAATTGTTCTGTGCTCCATCTGTCCATCTATTTATCATTCTATCTCTTTATCTACAGCATGAATGAAGTGATTATGAAGTAGTATGAGCTTATTATTTATTCAGTCATTAAAAATAAACACAGGCAAATGCATATTTGATTGTCTTCTCGGCACAGAGCAGTGCAGATTAAGTTTTCAATGACAGCGGCACGTCCTGTGCTGGGAATATGTCTAGTTTAGTCAAGGTATGGTAATGAATTCTTCGAGCGTGATCAGCGAGCATATTGAATTTTTTAAAAAGAGGAATTAGAGCGTGTTTTTGTGTTTTCCTCCTGCAGCAGAATGTTTCTAGGACAGTGACAAGACGGCATTTCAATGTATACAAAAAACCTCAAAATGAAGTGCATGGCTGGATTTTATGACAGGGAGTGAAACTCGAAAGGTCAAATATGTGAACAATCAATCGTTAAACCAAAATACAGTGAATATGAACTAATCTTATTAGACTTCTGTTACGAGCGCTTTAATATAAGTGATGCTTTATTGTATTTGGCTTTATTAAATCTTGAATTTTCATGTAAAGTGAGGTATACTGACTGACATCTTTTAGTTTTTGCGCTTGTTGCTCAGTGTTGATACAGGGCATTATGTGTAGAAGACTGAAATATTTACCCTATGAAGTAACAGTTACAGTCTTTCTCAGTGGCTTTGGTGCATTTCTCACAACACTATTTACATTTGCACAACAGTTCATGCATTTCTCAAAACAGTTAGTACAAACTGCAAAACTGTGCTGATAACCTGCAAAAGAGTGTCACTTGCTCAAAATGGAGAGCTCATTCCTCAAAAGCAAGTATTGATGTCAATCAAAGTGTCAGTATCATCAAGATGAAAAGTCCTGACACCATTGTTTATGAACAAGATAGTCAAATGGCTTTGTCGTGTTTTCATTATCACAGTTTACTCTAAAGTTTTTCCAATACAAAAAAAAAGTCAGATTTTGGTGACACATCCTGAAAATGCTCAAGACAGCACTATATACTATTAGCACAGCCACTTGAAAACTACTGTAAAGTTAGACATCACTGCATATAGTGAGGTATCTGATTACAAGACACTTACAGTTTTTCTCAGTCGCTTTGGTGCATTTCTCACTATCACTATTTACATTTGCACAACAGTTAATGCATTTCTCAAAACAATTAGTCATCTGTGCACATCACAGTAGCAGTTTCTCATTCCTTTCAGCAAATTGCAAATGCTTTCGGACATGCATCAACTGCTTTCACACAACTCTCTGCTATTTATAACATCATCATTTGCTCATGTCATGTCAGTCAAAATGAACTAAACTTGTAAATGCTGAATAGTCATTGCAAATAAAACTAATAGTCTTCATTTCATTACTTGAGTCATTACATACAAAAATGTTGAACTAGTTGTAAAAATCTTACAAGCTAATTTTATTTAAAAAAATGTTTAAATCTTTATTTTACTGAAAATGTCTTCTAAATTGAACAGTTTATGAATGAATTACAGACCTGTGTATGTATGTTGGTTCAGTTCCAATATGTTCTGCAATATTGTTTACAGTTGTGCACAGTTCAACCCAAAGAAAGTTTGTGTTTGTTGTAAATAAGGGTGTATTTATTCTTCTGCACAATGCTGTGAATAAATTGAAATTGTAAAGAGCAAATGCAGAAAAAATGTGAAACACACATATTCAGTGTCTTGTACTAGATACACTCACTAAATGCAGTGATGTCTAACTTTACTGTAGTTTTCAATTGGCTGTGCTAATAGTATATAGTGCTGTCTTGAGCATTTTCACAAAGTTTTACCAAAATCTGACTTTTTTGCATTGAAAAAATGTCCAGAGTAAACTGTCATAATGAAAACATGACTAAGCCATTTGACTATCTTGTTCATAAACAATGGTGTCAGGACTTTTCATTTTGATGATACTGACTCTTTGATTGACATCAATACTTGCTTTTGAGGAATGAACTATCCATTTTGAGCATGTGACATGCTTTTGCAGGTTATCAGCATGGTGTTGCAGTTTGTACTAATTGTTTTGAGAAATGCATGAACTGTTGTGCACCAAAGCGACTGAGAAAAACTGTAATATACATGTTTCATATTTTTACTGCTCTTTGCAATCCTAATTTATTCACAGCATTGTCCAAAAGAATAAATACATCCTTATTTACAACAAACATCAACTTCTTTTGGGTAAAGCTGTGCACAACTGTAAAAAATATTGCAGAATATATTGGAACTGAACCTACAACATACACAGGTCTGTAAATCATCCATGAAATTGTTCAATTAAGAAGACATTTTCAGGACAAAAATAAATATTTAAAATATTTTATAAAATTTTCTTGACAGATTTTGACACCCAGTTCAACATTTTTGCATGCAATGACTCAAGTAATGAAATGTGGACTATTAGTGTTATATGGAAGGACTTTTCAGCATTCATAAGTTTAGTTCATTTTGACTGACATGACATAAGCAAATGATAATGTTATAAACCGCAGCAAGTTGTATGAAAGCAGTTGATGCATGTCTAAAAGCATTTGCAATTTGTTGGAAGGAACGAGAAACTGCTTCTGTGATGTGCACAAATTACTAATTGTTTTGAGAAATGCTTGAACTGTTGTGCAAATGTAAATTGTTTAATGAGAAATGCACCAAAGCGACTGAGAAAAACTGTAATAGAACAATCACTTACTAACAAACTAATAATGAACAATAATCTTACAGCATTTATTAATCATAGGTCAACATTTACTAATGCATTTTTAGACATTTTTAACATTATTTAATGCACCGTGAGTAAACATGAACTAACGATGAATTACTTTTCATCAACAAAGAATGGCTAGGCCTAATGAATACTGTTTATTTCTTGTTTCTTGTATTAACAAAACATTATACAACATTATTGTAAAGTATTAACAAAAATGGTTAAATATACACTCACTGGCCACTTTATTAGGTACACCTTACTAGTAGTGATTTGGACCCCTTTTGCCTTTAGAACTGCTGTAATGCTTTGTGGCATAGAATCAACAAGGTACTGGAAATATTCCTCAGAGATTTTGGTCAATATTGACGTGATGGCATCACAAAGTTGCTGCAGATTTATCAGCTGCACATTTATGATGTGAGTCTCCTGTTCCACCACATCCCAAAGGTGCTTTACTTGATTAAAATCTGGTAACTGTGGAGGCCATTTGAGTACAGTAAACTCATTGTCATGTTAAAAAAAAACCAGTCTGAGATGATTCGCGCTTTATGACATGGCGCGTTGTCCTGCTGGAAGTAGCCATCAGAAGATGGGCACACTGTGGTCATAAATGAATTGCAAGGTCAGCAACAATACTCAGGTTTGCTGTGTTGTTGACACGATGCTCAATTGATAATAATGGGCTCAAAGTGTCCCAAGAA